GTATGCCCGGTATGGTGTCAGGTGAGTCCACGTCAGTTAGTAAGGTACGCGTACGTCTGTTAGTCAGGTATGCGTACGTCTGTTAGTCAGGTCCACTTACATCCGTAAGTTAGGTACGCCTACATCTATTAGTCAAGATCACTAACGTATGTTAGTCAGATCCACTTAAGTCTGTTAGTCAGGTACGCCTACGTCTGTTAGTCAGGTACGCCTACGTCTGTTAGTCAGGTACGTCTACGACTGTTAGTCAGGTATGTGTCCGTCTGTTAGTCAGGTATGCGTACGTCTGTTAGTCAGGTATCTGTCCGTCTGTTAGTCAGGTATGCGTACGTCTGTTAGTCAGGTATGTGTCCGTCTGTTAGTCAGGTACGCCTACGTCTGTTAGTCAGGTACGCCTACGTCTGTTAGTCAGGTACGCCTACGTCTGTTAGTCAGGTACGCCTACGACTGTTAGTCAGGTATGTGTCCGTCTGTTAGTCAGGTATGCGTACGTCTGTTAGTCAGGTATGCGTACGTCTGTTAGTCAGGTCCACTCGGAATAGCGCCGTAATTCCCCATCCATGATTAAAGGCGCATAAAGCATAACTATCTAACATACAATACCATTACATGTCGACATAGAAACATATGCTTCATCCGAATGAATGTAACTGTTTCATCTGCCAGAGAGTTTAGTCAACAGCTGCCTCTATAATGTACACAGTCAGGTCAGCCAAAATAACATCTGTACCAGTAAAAAACGTTACTATATTAGGTTTGGGCTTTATGTAGTTCAGTGTCGGAAAAAACGTGAATTCTCTTTGATGTGATATCTGAAATATCTTACGTCAAGGTCGTTCACCGCGGAACATCAACAGTGTAATCTACAAAAATCGATTCCGCGTTGAAACTTGAAGACAGGGGACGTATTACAAAACATCTGAACCCAACATAAACTCTATACACCAATAAACGGCTCTCTCGTCTAGCATATACAAAAAATGTTGTGACGGTGCATTTTGTTGTTCTTTAGTGGGGATAGTGTACGCATTTCCAGAAAACGCAACGGTTTTGTTCATAGTATACAAACTTACGCAAGTCCGTTCAAAGGCTACATTGATGCCAATATATTACATAATTAGTTTTGAGACAACCCCTGTGATAGTGCGATAACTATCAGGCAATCAGATATCCAATGGCGGCCATATCACGGAAGCCTATTCTCTCACGTGCTGAGTATCTTGACTTAACAGTTATTAAAAGAAATATGTCGGAAACCAATATCCTGCGTAAACAGACAGTATGATTACAGACCTGTACTGAGGTTTCGTAAAAACTATAGATGCAGCACTAATGTCATAGGCTCTTGGCGCGTGGTAGAGAGTTTGTTTCACTGTATGAAATAGGTTTATATCTTATCATTTGGTCGTACATTTTGAGTTATGATGATGGCTTAAGGCAGTACTACATGTCTACACTGTTGTGGTAAAACGCACACGGCCGTGAAGATCTAGGTTAGAATAGGTCTCTAGCAACCCATGCGTGTCGTAAGGGGCAACTATGCTTGTCGTAAGAGGCGACTAACGGGATCCGGTGGTCAGACTCGCTCACTTGGTTGAATCATGTCATCGTATCCCAATTGTGTGGATCGATACTCTTGCGATTGATCGGTGGGTTGTCTGGTCCAGACTCGATTAATTTCAGACCACTGACATATAGCTGGAATATTGCTGAGTGGGGCGTAAAACAACAAACAAAGAAATGCAAACAGTCGGTGCCAACCTTGGCTAAAATAGGGATCGGATGGTCTAAGTGGCCACTGAGGGTGAACAATTCTTGGTTTGTTGATTACAGGACATATCAACTTTCAGCCGAGAGAGGGGGTTCCATTGCTCACCTACACACAACAATATAAACCGCCAGATAGAAATGAGACAATTTGACTGGGCTCCTGTGTACCGATATTGAAGTATACAACCAGATAACATAATTGCCACGGCTAAACGAAATTGGTTAGTACGGGCAGGTGAATGCGCTTTCAGAGAGAAGCTAGACAGGACTCCAGTCAACCACCACAAGCACTTGTGTGAGCGCCGTTATTGGGGAAAACACAATGATCTTTGGCACGCCAAAAACTGCTAACATTTATGTAAACCGAATCATCCCCCCCTGCCCAATCCTTTAGTCGCGTCATCTGCTCTCTGAAACATTCAATATCTGATCAAATACCGTGTTTTATATGCCACCTAGTGTGGTGTGCATGTGGAGTTGCGCCATGTTAAATGGTGAGGCGGCTCGCCTGCTGTAGTGACATTTGCTCAGGATAACTCTCAATAAACGGGAATCTGTTTGTCGCAACATGGCTGACATTTGCAAGGAGAGATGACATTCATTTTTTTATCCATGCAGGCTAAATAGTGCATATGTTTTTTTATCTTTCTTAAAAGCCCTTCGAGCTTCATACCCTTCGTATGCAAAACACGAGAGGGCAAACAACCAGCTTAAGAGGAGGAAATTTGGCGTTCTCGTTTGTAGTTCTCTTACGAGGAGACCAATTCATTCCAAACGTTTACATCCCAAAATAAACACGGAAATTCCAGTGCATGGACATTAGTTGAAATTATATTCATTCAATTTCCTTGAATGTTAAGAATCTCTTTACTTCGGACACAAAGTGAAATGAGCACCTGAAACTTGCATTTCCTGAGAGTGACGTCTACCCAAGTTGTGTTTGAACTATGCCCCGGGGCGTAATTGTAGAATCGTGACTTTGAATCTTACTCCAGTGCAATGAAGAGGCGAGCACGACAGATCATAACAAAAACAGAATTGAACACCTCACGTCGTTGCATTCCGTAATCATTACGATGTTTTTGTGAGAGCTTGGATGAGGACCTGGGTTGGACGAACACAATAATAATAACCCCCCCCCCCCCCCCCCCCCCCCCCCCCCACACACACACACACACACACACACAGGCACACACACACACGCCACACAGTGCCTATTCCCTAGTTTAGAAATAAATGTTCAATATTAGACTAACGCTTAGTTTCTGAAAATACTTCATTTTGATGAGACAAATAAATCTATCAAAATTGAAAAGGAGCCCCAGTGAGATGGGAACCTGGGGAAAATCTAGACTTGCTTCATTTAGAGCTTTTGCGCTACAGTAAGGGCTGGGCAGAAGGGAAAATAATATGGTACAGGGACTGGGACTGACTAGTTTAATATGGATGTCACAAGTTTAAGTCCTTTCTGTATTTATTTAAGGTGTCGTTGATCTGTTTATTTAATGCATATAGAGCATGTACATTATTCCTTCCTATTCATACACAAACTTTGAGTTGATTAAAAATAGTTTTTTTATACTTATATGTTTACATGTATGATTATAGTATACTCATAATATACCAGTAATGCGTTACATTATAACTAAAATGACAATAAAAACACAAATCATTATTACAATTCAATAACAGTTTCTATAATCAGGAATACCCAGAATAACTGTATTATTCTTTTGGGTTGTCATGATGCTGTTCGTGGGCTCGGGGAGCACGGGAGGCCCAGTCGTCTGAGGCGCCGCGATTCGCTTTGCAGAGTTGCGTCCCTTGGGCACGCCAGAAACCCATGAGTGTGGGTTCGAATCCTGGTTCGCCCTGATTATGTTTCTAGGTTTGTCAGCACCATACCCTTGCTCGTGGGTTTCACCGAAGTGGTAAACGTCTGAGACCTGCATCACTTTGGGCTTTGCTCCCACATTAAGCTGACACGCCGTGATATAACTGGAATAATGTTAAAAGCGGCGTTAAACCCCACTCACTCATTCACTCGTGGGGACGTGTACCTGATACGCCTTATGACATCACCATACTCTTGGACTTGACCGAAGTAGTGACCTGCGTCGCTTCCGGCTGTCCAAAGACACTCGACAAACACGCCGTGATGTAACTGGAATACTATTCATAGCGGCACTCTGTCACTCCAAATTATTAAAAGTGTCAGAAAGACTTCCACAAACAAACATTTTATTCTTGGGTACTTCCTGTTGAAATATTTTCAGCAGTGTTCTGCAAGTAAAATCAAAACCGATATAATCGTCTTTTCAGAATCCTGCATCGATCATCAGGATACATGCATCGACGTCGTTCCGAATTTCAACGGTTAGAAAACACAATACATGTTCAACGTGTATTTACTCTGAAAGATAATGCTCCCCTGACAAAGACAGTAATTAAACCCTTCCTTTTAAAATGGTGGCATATGATAAGCAGTGTTGAAAAGTCAGATTACGTCGCTAATCCACAACATCGAGTAATGATAACCCGTGCAGATAACAGAACAAAGGAGATAGCTCTTTAGCCAAAGATTGCGTGCGACAGAACCAGTGCACCGAAGCACCCGTAAAAGTACTCCGAAAGTTTAGTGCAGTACCAGAATACTCCCAAAGGCAAGCAACTAGTAATTACATAATAATTGTGAACAGTCCATTTCTTCTTGAATTATGTTTGAATGTGTACTTTGTTATGGCTGACTGACAATGAACCTATAAGTAGACATTAGCTTAACAAAAAAACATGTTTTTGAAATTAATGTGTATCAGATCGTTTCAAATAATGTCCTACTTAGGAACTTTTCTAAATAATTTGATTCTACAACTGATTAAATTCAATAAAAAAATCAATGGGAAATCAAAATTGTTATGTTTTTATATGTGTATAAGCACAAAAAACGTTCATTTTATATTCATTAGAATAGTTCAGTCTACAGATTAAGTGGTGAGTGTATCTTAAGATGCTTTCCCTTCGTTCAAATAATGATTCCGTGTAATTTGGATGCGGACTTGAAATTATTTTGAAATAGGCAATTTCGCGAATATTGTTGAAGTACCGATGCCGTTATGGGCTGTTTTGAGGCAAGCGAAGACTTGAGTGATTTGTCAAGTCAGGGTACACTCCGAGTTGAGTGACGCTTACACGTGGGTCGAGGGCTGTGTGCAAGCGGCAACTGTCCATCACCCAACGAAATGAAACTTTCTGCGCTCGTCAACGAGGCCCGCCGCCAGTCGAAGCTTGGAACACAACGCTTGATCGCCTGTGCAACTGGCCGTGTATTCAGAGGCGTCAAGGATCCTCCCAGTCCAGCATAGACCGCCGTGTCGTCATGACGTTGCATAATACCGTATAACGGCGGAATTAAATTTCTCTCAATTTCCGCTCACTTGTGGCGTCTCGCGGGCCCTTTCAGCGGTGTACATTTCATTCACGCATCGATCGCACCTGTCAATCTTGTGACGTCACAAGCGTCTAGTCTCGGGGGCGGGGCTAATAGTTTGATTTCGTACCGGCATAGTACACCATATCACCTGGTCTGTACAAGAAGAGGGGATAAGAACTTCTTGAAGCTTTTTCTTGTTTCTCTGTGGATTATATGCTACGAGTGCGGACCACAAGTTTGTCGATTTCTGTGTGTTTTGAGAATAAGCCATCTTAGCACGTGGATACGAATTCGGGAAAGTTTGTCAAGTTGAACAAGTTTGTTCATTCATGGATATGTCAGCAGTGTGTCTGCATTGCTCGTGATTTTCACTGTGGATTATAACTTAAATTCTCAAGTTCTGTCTAAAGTTACTTCATCATGGCGACTTGTGGGGCAGACACTCAACCCTCTAGCCCCCCGGGACGGTCCGGTCTCCCCCCTAGCCCCGTGGGTGGGGCTGTTGGAGGGGAGGAACCGTCACCCTCTCTGGTAAGTCAACGCTGTGTTTTTTTAAGGGTATTTCCTATGTTGCGTGCCCGGAACCATTGTGACCTGTTGCCTGCGCTCGTGGGCCAAAACTTTAATGTGAACTTCTACCATGGTTGTTTGTGTTTATTTCAGAGGCCCCGTCTAGGAATCAGCGGCGTGGAACCTGGTAAACAATGTTCTAACTGTGCTGATAAGTGTCCCGGCTTCGCTCTGCATTATTGGAGGTAAGGTTGCATGTTAAAGAAATACTTACTTAATTATTATTGTCAACGTCTATTCAATAACACACGCCACGACTTGTGCCGACATCAAAATAACCATCGCTTCCAGGAAAATGTGCTAATACTCGTTGAAAGGTATTTTTGGGGGGGAGGGGGGATTTATATGCATTTTTTAAGGCTCTAAACGTCTCAACTTTCGTAAGTTGTAAAAGTTAGCGTTCATTTTTCTGTGGCAGTTCTTGTTATCCGATTATCGTGGCACTGATTGCTAAAACATGTGATGGCATCCAGTATCGGGCAGGTGAAACTGGGGTCAACCGTACACACTACCTTGGGTTCTGTTTTTGTCACGTGACTTGCCTTTCTTGTCATTGGCCTTGGTGCTTACCTGTTGAGTCAGCTAATTGATTGAGTTCAGTCACTATGTGCATGTCTCATTACATTCGTGTTCTTTTGTTTACTCCTTTTCCACATAATTGCTATTAGACACGAAACCTCCATTTTCAGTTTTTTATATGACGTGACCTATATTTGTCACATGACCCGGAACAGCGTCAGAGTATATTACAACACCTATGATTTGTGTACGACTAGCCAATTGTTACTTCACAGCTAGGGGTGGGAGAACAGCCCCGGGGGTCGGGTTTAGACAGTAACAACCTGTAGCTGACCATTAGAAGACGAATGACCCCTGGCGTTTCCAGCGCTCACAGAGGAACATAATTCATAGTGATTTTCTCCTCGCCTTCACACCGGCAATTTCAGCGTCAATATAATTAATTTCTTGAAGATGGTTACGCAAGACTTAGACAATTTTGTTGTCACTCAAGCACCATCACCTTGAAACACTCTCTGGCAATCTAAGTTAACATCAATGTGTGCGTGATTTTCTTACCACTGCGGTTGTGATTGTTATGTAATCACGGTCCCGTTATCAACATAGAGGGGATTTAGTTAACCCATAGGTTATAGTATTGGGTTTGAAAAGTGACACAATAATTTCACATTCACAGGAGATATTGATCTTGAAGTGCTGAGGCTGTTTGTCGGTGTGTTTGTTTGAAATTGCTTTATATTTTAACGGAAGTTTATACTGTAAGTTACGCTTACGGAGAGGTTGTGTATCGCAATTTTAGCATTGTGGCATCGATGTCGGCTGCTCGCGATACACCACGAACCTTTCTTACTGTTTATTTGATTTGTGTACGTTTGTTCGTTTCTACCGCCATATTTCCATGAAGTGTTTGCCTTGTCATTAAAGTTGACATTGGAACATTGCCAAGATAAGTAAATACACGTTCAAGAAGTCCTACGCGCGAGTGTATGAATGTTTAACAATGAACTTTCTGCAGCGTTACGTTTCTTGCACCTCGCATTTCCTGCCACTTGAGAACTGTTAGTTTCTGAGAGATTTCTGTTAGTTTCTGAGAGATTTCTGTTAGATTCTAGGACCAAGCACAGTAATGACACGTTGTCATGTTTAAGTGAATTAACAGACGGTTGTGAGATATACGATTACTACCGGTGCCGTATTTCCGAAACCAAGAAACCCCATGGGCGAAAATACAAAGTTAGCCTTTTCAACAATTCTCACGGAGCAATTTTCAATTTGTTCAATGATTAGGCTCCTGTTACCCTGCAAAGCCAATATTCACAATTCATATTTACTCAATGTGTACGTGGGCTCTATGGGACGGCAATCGATATGCATCGTTATAGGTTAAACTAAGTTTGCGCTCGTCGGCGTCACGGCCGTAACTTCTGCAATCTCGTGGTTCACGTAAAAAGGTTGGAAAGTCACTGGAGATCTTATTTACGGAAGTGAACGGTCTAGTCTGGTTGTATTGGCAGATGTGTCGGGGCATCACCCTGCCGACACGCCGCTAGTATCTGACATTTTTTCATTCCACTGTGAAACATACGAAGAGAGTTTGAGAGGAGCAGACTTGCTTTCAGCTATGGCTTGTAAAGGCAAATTCCTAATCTTAGACATTCTTCCCAGTATTGTCCAGTCTGTACGAGTCTCCACGTTCAAATATCCCTCAGTCGGCTCCAAATCCTATGTTGTATTTGTTGTTTCCAAAGTTATCAAGATTTACAATTGAAGAGCTTTGATGTTAACCTGGATCAACATACTCTACATTGGGAGACAGCATGAAATATAAACATTGCGACAGAAACATCATCGTCTATGGTTAGTCGGGAGCTCTTTGGAGACAGAGACTGTGCAGGCTTATAGTTCATTTTTCTACCATTGTCTCTTTGTTTCTGTGATTATTATGACTCCACTCCTCCACCTACAGGCCTCTCTCATATCTATCCCCCATCTCTATCTAGCCCCACTCGGAGGCAGCTGAGAGCCCAGACCAGTGAACATCTTGCGCTGACAGATGTATGGCTAATGGCAAGCAAGAATTGTATTGTGAGCAGCGCTTGCATCTCCTCAATGTATGTAGGATGGGTGTCGCCTAGACTAACGCTTAGTCTCTGAATATGTATAATTTTGATAGAAACAAATAACTCATTTAAATTGAAAAGGAGCCCCAATGAGCAATGAGATGGGAACCTGAGGAAAACCTAGACTTGCTTCATTAACGGCATTTGCATTATAGAAGGGGTTGGGCGGAATTGGAAATAATATGGACCAAGGACTGTGAGACAGACTAGGTGTCACCATGAAGTTTTATTTTTCCCATATCTCTTTCACACAGGTAATAACATGTCACAGAAATACCTGTGAAATTGTTTTTTTAAATGTTCATTCTTTATATTATTTTATCTAAATCTGAAAGGTGATGTGACTCAGTTGTATAAGAAGTATTAAATATTCAAATTGTCTTCAAAGACATATATTATTAATATTTTAATACCTCTAACACTGCCAACGACTTCGATAGTTAACACCACAATGTATTTTCAATCATTCTGACACTAGACAATGGAAATTTGCTGACAAGGCAGTTTTTGTCATTAAATTTACATGCATTGTTAATCTAATCTGTAGACAGCCAAGTTAAATATAAGAAAGGTTACATCTATCACACACTGTCAAACTGTCCAAACATGGCATTTACTGTGGAAATTCTTGTGATTTGTTCATTATTCATTTCCATGCTAGAGATTCCATCAATCATTCATTGCTTCTCTGGGAATCGGTGCATGTGGCGTTGCAGATCCAGCAACAGGCACTGTTTGATTGCTAGTTTGGCTTGTCAGAACTGTCAATGTTTGATACATGTGTCATTTACAACAGAGGGGCAGTAAACCTCAGCTATTGACCACTCCTCAATAGCTCTGTACGTAGCTGGTCCTGTCCATTTTATTCATTGCATGCTCTCTACGTGATTAGGTCGATTTGTCTTAGAACATCAGGCGATATTCATTCTCGTTTAATCATCGTTTTACTTTAGGTGAAGAAGAGAGATTGTGGTTTTGTGTGCTTCTTGTAATTAATGAATATTAATGAGAGTAATAACTGCCAATTACGAATACAGATTAGATGCACTAATTGATACTGTCTCACTAAACTGTAATTAATTAACATACAAAATGTAAATATTACAGCCAAATATACCTATTTTGAATCCTGCTATTTATTATACATGAAACTTAAATTATAACTTCAATATTAACTGAAAATTCAGTTAACCCTTTGACTAGTTAAATCAATAACTTTATCTAGATTTGTTGTCATTCACGCCTCCACGGATAAGCAAAACAACAAGCTACTTAAGGGGTATGCTATATTCCCCTGGGATAGGGCTGATACATAGAAGGGTGAGTGGGTGTTATCACCTGATTGTGTGGCCTGGTAAGGGGTATGACAGGTGTGAGAGACTTACCTGAGGCAATCAGAGGATTAGAGTACATACAGAACTGACCTACTACATTTTACCTGTGTTTACCTGTATGTCTTTATGACACTCGTTAACATTTCTTATCTCTACCAGCCATGTTTTGGCGTCTAGGTTTAACTATGGGAAAGGTATGGTACATCAAACATCCACAAGGCCCTCAGTAGCCCGTGAATCTAAGCATCTTTCTACCATCAACAAGGGTCTGTTTTCTTGACGATGCTTTGCACATGACCCGAATAGACCTAATTGCTAGCTCCATACAGTCTGGCACATACCTGAAACATACTCCACAATCAGCAGCATCAACAGATGGGTAAACACTGTACAATACTGTTCTTCCAAGCAGCATCCCTGGTCAAACTACAGGTTTCTTAGTACATTTGCAAGTTATACTGTGTGCTTTATAAGTAGGATCATTTAGAATTGTTTATCCCTGTGAATGTTTTCCCGCACCTCATGGCATGATATGGTTTGAATATTGTGACATAAAGTTTGAAATCAAACTCACTAACTCTGTGATTCAAGTAGTCTTTTTTTGTCCATGTTCAGTGTTTTTCCTCACCCATGTAGAAATGCTCTGTATCTAAGTGTGTTAATACAACTCAAGCTTTTTTTAAAAAATGACAGTGAAGCCACAAAAGGAAATCACTGGGTTCAATTAAGTTTCTGCCATCTTTTTGGAAGATCAGTTGGCTCAGAAGATTCCCACTGAGGGAGGTGAAATGGGGTTTAATGTCATGTCCAAGATTATTGCACTTACATTGCGATGTGCGTGCATTGCATGCGGCCAGACCAATGCCGATTTTATAAGGCAAGCCGACTGAGATACTATGCCACAGTTTAACATGAATACCCCACTGAGACACGGTATACTGACTCCGAGCTGACCAGTCCTTGTTTTAGCCCCTTAATGCCAAGTGCCAGGCAAAGTAACAACAAATACCATCTCTTAACATCTTCCGTTCTCCAGGCCGATGCTCTACCACTAGGCCACGGAGGCGGTCTTACTCTAAGTAGCTAGTAATATGAAGAATTCAGGTAAATGCAACCCCCAGATGTGTCGTCTTAACCAAAACTCCCTCATCCCTTTTAAGTGTTTCATAATTGCAACTGGTGCAGAAATGAAATTGAAATAGCTGCAAGAAG